GTCGTGGCGTGGGTGGTGTGTGTGCGGTGTGTGTGAATATATTCGTGTGGAGTGTGTGGGTTGTGTGTGTTGTTTGTTAGTGTGTGTGCGGTGTGCCATCATAGTGTGTGTATGGGGTGTATGTGGAGTATCAGAAATAACTTCATTGTGTGTAGGTGCGTTGTGTAAACATTACCACTGGGGAGACAAAGGCGGCCGGGCGTGGTCACAGCCACACCACCCTTTCGTGTGCCGTTTCGGCCTTCACTAACAGCACTTGCCCCATCAGTCTGTTAAGACTACACGGGGGATCTTTGCCTTTGTGTATCTGTGTGTGCCTGTGTGTCTATGCTCGTATGTGTTGCTGGGTTTATTTGCCGCTATGGGTGTGTGTGTGTATGGGGAGCGGTGGTGCAGCGGTTAGGGCACTGCGCTACCAACCCGGCCACCTGAGTTAAATTCTCGCTCACGACCAATAACATTGGCGAAAATTTGTACTCGCTCTGGGTCTCCTCAAGGTCGACTCAGCCTTAAAATGAGTACCTGGCGCAGTCTATAAACATCGCCACTCAAGAGACAAGATCCCACCACACACTCTGCCTTCATCGGTGCTACTCACCAGCAGCACTTGCCCCTAACAGTCGGTGTGGCCTACACGGGGGAGCTTTGTCTTTGTGATTAGCACCAAGGACAGCGCCCGTGACATGCACACTCGGGTGTTGGGCGAGTGTGCGGAGTCATCGATTACGTAGAATCGATCCGTGTGGCGTTGGCGAGTGAGATAATCGCTCCGTGCCGCGTGTGGTGAGAGAATCGGATCGCGTCGCTCGCCTCTTGAGTGGCCCGGGGTCAAGTTGGACTCGGGCCCCGCGGCAGAGGGTCTGGTGTCTGGGCGAGAGAGACGAGATGGTGGTGGTTAGGGGTTGTTCGCTGTGGTTGTGGTTGTTCGCTGTGTTTTTTGCGGTTAGATGTGGTTGTTGCGGTTGTAGTGGTGGTTAATCGTGGTGATTGGCTGTGGTTGTGGTGGTTAGCCGAGGTGGTTGTGGTTACATGTGCTGGGTAGCTCTGTTCGTGGTGGTTTAGCCGCGCTGGCTGGCGTAGTGGTTCGTGGTTACATCTGCCTGCCGTGGCTTGCTGTGGTTGGCTGAAGGGCTGTGATCGCTGGCACATATGTTCACACTCACTCACACAGTGCGCGGGGAGGACGGGAAGAGGCAGGGGCGGGGGGGGGGTATAATGTGCGATCGGAGGGGGCATCACTGATTGTGTTTGTCAATTGTGGGGGGGGGGGGGTGGGGGGGTTGAGGTGGGCACTAATAATGAGGTGGGGAGGGGATGCAGGTGGCGCCGTGACATCTGGCGGCCCCTCCCCCCGGACCCCCACCCCACCCCGTTCCCTCTGAGTCCGGCTCGATCATTAACTGGGATAAAATATGGTTTTTGTAGCCAAATCTATTCGGGTTAAACACCGCGAGGAATCACAACCACCATCTGCTGCCCGGACACGTGGGCACACGAACGCGCGTGCGTGTGTGTGCACGTGTGTGTGCACGTGTGTGTGTGCACGTGTGTGTGTGTGCACGTGTGTGTGTGCACGTGTGTGTGTGTACACGTGTGTGTACGCTTGTGTATGTACACGTGTGTGTACGCTTGTGTATGTACACGTGTGTGTCTGTACACACCTGGGTGTGTGTGTATACAACGTGCGCGTGTGTATGCACCTTTGTGTACATGAACCTGTGTGTACACACACGCGTGTACGTGTGTGTACACGCGTGTATGCTGACCTCCATAGGTGCTCACTAACAGCACTCAAAGTCTGTGAAGGCTATAAGGGGGGTGTGTGTTGGACTTCTATCGCACCGTACGTTAGCCAACCGCACTAACCGGAGGTGCGGGGGAAGGACAACAAACTAAACACAACACGCGGCTCTAAAGAAATGAGTTTTACATGTAAACGTGCAAAGCTCCAGTGGCTTCCTAATATCGGAAGGGAGAGAGCGTTCCAGACGGCCGCGGAAGCGCACGTGAAAGCGCCGCGCGGTGCGGTGACCGCCTTTGTTCGATGTCCAGCCAAAGCTCGCTGCGAGGACGAGCGAAGTTCATGCGATGGTTTCTATTCCTTGACGAGATCAGCGAGGTGCGGTGCTTCGTTTGTGTCAATAACGTCGTGTGTGTGTGATGGGGGCGACATTAAGATGTGTTCGTTCAGCAATCGGATGCTCAGCGAGTGCCGCACGTGCACGGGGGGATCTCGCCGTGCCCGTCACGTGCCAACGACTCTCGCACGCGCCGCCACCTTCCGATGTTTGTGCGCCAGACGTCCCGTAGAGTGGCGAGTTGCAATAATCGGGCCTTGTCGATAACCGTGCCGTGCTTCACACGCCGCCGTCGTGTTCGCCTGTGTCACGACGCGTGTCGATAACGCAGCAGCCCGGCGGCTCGTGTGGCGCACACCCAACTCGTGCCACGAGGAGCTCGCTAACAGCAACGACAGACACAGCATGAGGCTATTCATGGTGGGGGGGGGGGGGGTCAAGGTCCTCGCCCCCCCCCCGTCCCCCCGTGACCCCCACTGTAGCGGTCAGCCCAAGAGCAACGCGGGGCGAGCGTTCGTCCCATAACAAACATCAACAAAAAACGCGACCCAGGGGAGAGGCCTTTAATTACAGGGGCGGGGGTTAAGCGGATGGGGGAGGGGGGTGAGGGGGGGTGACGGATGCCGGGGGGAGCAGCGGCAGTCACGTGGGAGCGCCCTTGATGGAGTGCGCGTTCCCGCGCGCGCGCACGCGGATTCATCACCCGGGCAAGGGGGGGGGGTCGGAGTGGGGGGGAAACTGGGGAGAGGCGGTACCTGGGACACCTCGACTCTCTTGACACCTAGGGTCCCCTTTGTGCAGGGTGGGGGGGTAGAGGACGGTGGGGGGCTGTGGAGGATATGGGGGGGGGGCACAGACGGGGTCTGGCTCCCCGCGCTGCCGAGTCAACGCCTCCTCCTCCTGCTCCCTGCGCCAGACTCGCCCGTAGACTCACTCTCTCCACCCCTTCCTCTCCACTCTCTTCTCCACTCTCCCGTAGACTCACTCTCTCCACCCCTTCCTCCCCACCCCTTCCTCCCCCCTCTCTCCCCTCTATCTCCCTTCTCTCTCCCCTCTTTCTCCCCTCGGCCGCGCGACCTCTGGGGGCCACTGGGACATCAGCGACGGGCGGGCAGGGGGGGGAGGCGGTGCGGGCTGTCCCGCTCGCGGTGATCTCATCCCTGCGCACCCTTCTCTCCCCAAGGGGGCTCCTGGGGGTCCGTGGGGATACGCGACTCCGGCGAGGGGGTAAGACCCCCCCCTCCTCCCTCTCCCTGACCCTGGAGCCCCAGGATCGGCCTCTTGGCGTCCGTCCTGCGCCAGTCGCGGCATCAGCGAGGCAGAGTGCTGACCCGGGGCGTCGTCGCCGAGTCCCAGCCGCGTGATTATGAGTCCAACCCTGACCCATGTCTCACACAGGCCCACGCCGTGCCGGCCTTCAAGGAGCAGTGGGTGATGGAGGAGGCCGTGTGCTCGGTGGCAGATGACGGGGAGCTCTGCATGCTGATATGAGCTACCCGTCGGAGGCCGTCGGGCTGCGAGAAGGGCTGCGTGCAGAACGAGAGAGAGCGAGAGAGTGAGCGAGAGAGTGGGCGAGAGAGTGAGCGAGAGAGTGAGCGACAGAGTGAGCAAGAGAGTGGGCGAGAGAGTGAGCGAGAGAGTGAGCGAGCGACAGAGTGAGCGAGCGAGAGGGTGGGCGAGAGAGTGGGCGAGTGAGTGGGCGAGAGGTGGGGATTTACATAAAGCAAAGTTTTACATTTTAAATTAAAATAAAAAAAATTACGAAATGATGAAGCAAAGTGCCGAATACATCGAGCATCTTCTTGTTTCCACTGATCGTAAAAAAAAAGAGCGAGAGAGTGACCGAGAGAGTGGGCGAGAGAGTGAGCGAGAGGTGGGGGTTTACATAAAGCAAAGTTACAAAAAAATTACGAACTGATGAACGAAGCAGAGTGCCGACTCCAGCGAGTGTCTTCTTGTTTCCGCTGGTCGTAGACACACAGAGAGGGCACCTCGCCGACCCACGTCCGGCAGCTCACCGGCGTTGGCCGCCCCTGTCGTTGTGCTCGCGTGGAACCGATGCTGCTGGTTAGACGCCATTCTCAGAAGGCCTCCTGCAACAACAACAACAACACAAATCACACTTTGTATATATATGTGTGTATGTGTGTGTATGTGTGTATGTGTGTGTATGTGTGTGTGTCTATGTGTGTGTATGTATATATAGTGGGGAGCGGTAGTGTAGCGGTTAGCGCGCTGCGCTATGAACCTGGCGACCCGGGTTCGATTCCCGCTCACGGCTAACACCAGTGACGATTATCTGAACCGGTCCTGGGCCTCCCCTAGGTCGACTCAGCCTTAAATGAGTACCTGGTGCGGTGTGTAAACATCGCCACTAGGGAGACAAAGGCGGTCGGGCGTGGTGCTGGCCACCCACCCCCTCGTGTACCGTTCCGGCCTTCATAGGTGCTCGCTAACAGCACTTGCCCCTACAGTCTGTTCAGGCTATACGGGGGGTCTTTGTCTTTTGTATGTATATATGTGTGTGTGTGTGTATGTGTGTGTATGTATATATGCGTGTGTGTTTGTTTTCGCGTGGAAGAGATGAAGGTTGGGGGGTGGGGGTGGGGCAAGCAGGCGAAACGGGTCCGCTGCCGGGTGAGTCTGAGTCGGCCTCTCGTGGCAGGACACCGGGAGTCACCCCCCCTCCCCCCCGGGAGACTCCTTCATCACGCACCACGAGGGGGGGGGGCATCGCCCCCAGGCAGAGCCCACGCAGGAGCCGACTTGCCACCACCCCCCCCCAGGGGCCTCGCACTAGAAGAGACGCCCCCCCACCACCCAGCATGACGAGCACGTGGTTGGGGTTTTGCGATGGGCCACGTGGTTGAGCTCTCATTTGTGATGGGCAGGTTGCGTCTGGAAAAAAAAATTTATGCCAAA